AAAATTAGCCAGGCATGATGGCGCATGCCTGTGGTTCCAGCTACTTGGAAGGCGGAGGTGGAAGGATCGCCAGAGCCTAGCAGGTCGAGGCTGCGGTGGCCGTGAGGGTGCCACTGCACTCTAGCCTGGGTGACAGAGTGAGACTCCTACTCAAAATAAATAAATAAATTTATAAATAAATAAATACGCACTAATCGCGGGCAGAAGGACACCTGTTCTGTGCTCGTGGAAGGGGTTTGCTCAGGTCTGCTTCTTCCGCCTGTGTTCTGTACATCCCCTTTGGCCTCCTGTTTATTGACTCGTTCCTTTCTGGGTCTCCAACCTCTCCTTGCCTTCCTTACTTAAGCCCCCAATGGACTGATCTTCCTCCCCTAATCCATTTGTCTAACTAGATTGGTCTTTCCAAATAAAGAACACTTGGACAGGCAGATAAAGGTAGGAAGACATTTCAGACAGCGAGACCATTTTAGGTAAAAGTGTGTCTGCCTCTGTTGCCAAAAGCTTTGGGGCTCCTGCACAGAGCAGTCTGTCTGCACCCCAAACCATGTTTACACGACTCTGTGAGCACCTTCTGCATGCAGGCCGTGTGCGCTAGCGGAGGGTACAGGCTCCGATGTACCCATGATTCACTATCTCGGCCAGGCGCTGTGCTGACTGCGCTACATGCGTCACTAGCCCTGATGCCCTCAACCAGTCTCTGGTGGAGGCACCGTTAGTCCTGGTAACAAGTGAGGAGACAGAAGACCCAGGAAGGCCGAGACAGCGGCCAAGTCAGGATTCAGACCTAAGCAGTCCACTCAGTGACAGTTTGTGCTCTTACCATGTGATAAGTGTTGTTAGATGAGTGTGCTGGGGTGATGTGGAGGACAGGAAGATAGAATTGACACGGCTTGCTCACTGGGGACAGGATGTGGGAGGAGAGGAGAGGGAGCCTAGGGCGCAGGATGTTGCCAGCCATCTAGATAGGAAATACAGGAGTGGAAGATGAGATGGTTTAGAGGTCAGTGAAAGCATCCTTCTCCTTCCCCTAAGTTCAGAACCAGTGAGATAGAGATGCACGAGTCAAGTGGAAGGAGACCAGAATACGGCCTTTGATGGGGTTGACAGTGACTGTGGCTGCCATGTGAGTTCACTAATGCTTCCTTCCTTAATTAAACGGGTCTATCCACCTGGTCCCAGGCACAGTGGAGAGAAGAAAACAAACTCTTCCCGTTTTTTTGGAATGGAACTTTGGATAGGCTGACTCCAAAAGAAGGAATGCAAGCCAAGTGTGATGGTTCATGCCTGTAATCCCAGCACTTTGGGAGGCCAAGGTGGGAGGATTGCTTGAGGCCATGAGTTTGAGACCAACCTGGGCAACACAGCCAGACCCATCTCCACAATTTTTTTTTTTTTTAAAGAAAGCCAGATGGCTTAGAGCTACACTTTTCCAGTTTTTTCTGTCAACTCCCAGCCAGAAGTCAGCCCACCGGTAGGGAGTATTCCTTTCTCTAGCAGATAATTCCTGTTATGGGAACATTAAAGATAGGGACTAAGTATCCCCTCCCCCAAATCCCTGAAAATTTTTATTATTGACTATACAAGTATTAATCCTTGAAGTGGTAAAAAAAAAAAAAAAAAAAAAAAGAAAAAAGAAACCCAATGCTAAAAATATTAGAGGAAAAACTACAAATAAATTTTGTTACAGAAAATTTATTATGGTTATATTTTTATTCATTTATTTTTTGTAGAGATGAAGTCTTGCTATGTTGTCCAGGCTGGTCTTGGACGCCTAGACTCAAGCGATCCTCCCGCCTCAGCCTCCCAAAGTGCTGGGATTACAGGCGTGAGCCAACGTGCCTGGCTATTATGGTTATGTGCTCTTCGGGAGTAGAGAACCTAGCAATTATGGAGCAGAAAGTTGAGTTCATCACTTGTTTTCAGGAAATTCCTAGAAATACTTTGTGGACACCTGAATTCATTTAGCAGACATTTACAAATGCCTACTTTGTTCAAGGGAGTGTACTAGAACTGGGATTTAAAGCTGAATAAGATACAAATCATGCCTTGAAGCTCCCAGGATAGTGGCAAAACAGCCCTATAAACAATGACAGTGTGGTGAGAGAAGCCCTGGTAGAGATTCCTGCAGTGTGCTGTGGGAGGGTTATGCGGACACAGAGGGATGTTTTCAGAAAAAGCAAAATTGGCGCTGTCTTGAGCGGAGAATAGGGATTCTCCAGAGTACACTTTGAAAGCATTTTGGTTTAGGTCAGAGGAAAGGCAACTTTGTCCTTGGGTTAATCCTGCTGTGACCTGGGTTTCCCTGGATAACCTTGATCTAGCCACTACTGTTGCCACCCCAGGGATAATTTCCCTCCTAATGGGCTACAGGACTTTTCCAGTCAGGATTGAGTCTTTCAGATAAATGTATAATTGACTTAGTTTTTAGAGTTATTAGCTTATTACCATTGCTAATGAGCGGAAACATAACTGAACCTTTTGGTGTGAAACAAGTTTTTCCCTACAATGACACTCTCAGGCTGTCCTCTCTGTCATTTTCTCCTCGTATATAATGTTTTCCCTCTTTGTTTTCTCTGTCCCTATGTGTAAAAATCTGCATCTCCTTCTACATTTGTCTCTTTTTCTTTTCCTTTATGCTTTGCTCTCCCTCCCCCTCCTGTCTTTTAACTTATCAAAATACAAAATTTAGGTTTTAAAGTATACCTGCAATTATTTTGAAGCATTGTAATAATTACTGTTAAAGTGTCATGTTTGCTGCTTCTACTTTTAAAAATAGATTACTTGGACTTATTATGCTATGAATAAATTAAATGGCTTGCTATTTGTTTTTTGTTTTTTTTTTTTGAGTTGGAGTCTCATTCTGTCACTCAGACTGGAGTGCAGTGGCCGCTCCCAGCCACCGCAGCCTCGACCTGCTGGGGCTCCAGCGATCCTTCCGCCTCAGCCTTCCAAGTAGCTGGAACTACAGGTGTGCGCCCGGCTAATTTTTTATTTATTGTAGAGATGAGGTCTCACCAAGTTGCCCAAGCAGGTCTCGAACCCCGCAGGCTGAGGCAATCCACTCATCTCAGCCTCCCAAGGCGCGGGATTACAGGCTGAGTCACCGAGCCCAGCTGTCTGGCTATTTGTAATTGGTCTTTCATTGTGCCCACTCTTACCCCACCTTCCAGGTGTTAAATGACCCCCAGTAGAAAAAAGATTTCCTTCCAAGATGTGTAGTAATGCTGGGTACCAAATGTTACATCTGAATTCCTTTTTTCCAACGGCAGCAATGCAAGGAAATTTTTCTAGTTTTACACAGCTCTTTCCATGTCCAAAGTCCTGTACAACTGGCTATAATATTTTATTTCATTAATTATTAGTTTTATTTATTTATTTTTATAGAGACAGTCTCACTATGTTGCCCAGACTAGTCTCGAACTCTTGGCCTCCCAAAGTGCTGGGATTACAGGCATGGGGCACCTCGTCTAGCCAAGAATTAGTTTTCGACCAAAATATATGCAGGCGCAGTGATGGTACTAAGAATAGCATGGTCTGCATTTTTTATCCCCATCACTTTTATTCTTTGCTCTGGACAAGTCACCCCTCCTTAGTCTCAGCTAGAGAACTGTATAAATATGTTCCCCTTTCCAACCAGATTTCTGCTCCCTCATGGCATTCCAACAGAGACATCTTACAGCTATCACAGTACAGCTCTACAGCACACATTCAAAAAAGTGTGACCTAGCTGGGTGTGGTGGCTCATGCCTATAATCCCAGCACTTTGGGAGGCTGAAGTGAGAGGATTGCCTGAGCCTACGGGTTTGAGACCAGCCTGGGCAACTTGATGAGACCTCGTCTCTACAATAAATTAAAAAATTAACTGGGCGTGGTGGTGCGTACCTGTAGTTCCAGATACTTGGAAGGCTGAAGTGGAAGGATTGCTTGAGTCCAGTAGGTCGACCCTGGGGTGTCCATGAGTGTGCCACTACACTCCAGCTTGGACAACATAGCAACAGAGTGAGACTCCAACTCAAAAAAAAAAAAAGAAAGAAAGAAAAAAACAAAAAAGCGTGATCTTAGGAAATTTATATTGGAGGGATGGTTACAAAAGAACTGTTTACAAAGGATTTATTTTGCAGTGTTTTTATTATTTACTTATTTATTCATTTTTTTTAGTAGGAGTCTCTGTTGCCCAGGCTGGAGTGCAGTGACACGATCATGGCCACTACAACCTTGGCCCGCTGGGCTTAGGCAATCCTTCTGCCTCAGCCTTCCAAGAGACTGGAACTACAGGTGTACATCACCATGCCCAGCTAGTTTTTTTGATTTATTGTAGAGACGAGGTTTTGTTAAGTTGCCTAGGCTGGTCTCAAACTCCTGGACTGCGCTGGGATTACAGGCATGAGCCACTGTACCCAACTTTTTTTTTTTTGAGTAACAGTCTCACTCTGTTGCCCAGGCTGAAGTGCAGTGGCATGATCAAGGCTCACTGCAGCCTTGACTTCCAAGGCTGAGGTGATCCTCCTGCCTCAGCCTACCAAGTTGCTAGGATTACAGGCACATGCCACCATGTTCAGCTAATTTTTTTATTATTATTTTTTTTAGTTTTTGTAGAGACAAGTTCTCAGTATGTTGTCCAGGCTGATCTTGAACTCCTGTTCAAGCAATCCTCCCACCTCGGTCTCCCAAAGTGCTGGGATTACAGATGTGAGCCACTGTGCGATGTTTTTTTTAAAAAACATGTTTTCTGTAGTTCATTCCAAATGATTTGAACTTTTCAGAAATGCATCTTGAGGGTAAATAAAATTATCTTTTTTCCCCCTTTGTCTGACATAGATGACAAAGTCCTAAGGCTGCATCTCACAGCTAGCCATTTGCCTGCCTATGTTTGAGCAGAAACACCTCAGACTGAGCCCTGTGTGAATGAAGTGACCCTGGTCAGGAGATCAGGAGCGACCCTCACAGCATCCACATCACTCCTCTTTGGACAGTTCCCAGCTCCAAGTGGGGAAACAAATATGCCACTTGGTCTAGGCAAAGAAGACAGTGATCAGGAGGACAAGTTTGAAGACGCTCACGAAACCATCCCTGTGGCAACAACAATGAATCTAGTCACTTCCTTGGAAGAATGCACAACTGCATTGTATTTATTTCTAAACAACAGATTCTCCGATGCAATAAATCTCCTTCATCCATGGTCTAAAACCAGTATATACCATGCGCTCATATATGGTATCCTTATGGTTGTCAAGGCCATCCTGACTTTTGATCCACAGGATAAACAGATTGGAATGGCCATTGTAAAGGAAGCTTTGAAAACCTGTAACAGTTTCCGGAGAAAACCTAGAGTAATACCATTATCTCATCTAGTGAGCAAAGAAGGAATAAAGGCTATTAGCGAAGAGGAATTGCATGCGGAAGTCTGTTATGCTGAGTGTCTGATCTTGAAGTCCTTCATAACATTTATACAGGATGAAAGCATGCTTGGCTTTCTTAAAGGCGGGATCAGTATTGGGGCAAGTTACCAAATATACAAAGACTGTCAACAAGTGTTAACGCAGATACCTAACGACCAAAGCAAAGCCCACAGACACCTGGTTGGAGGTATACAATTTGGACTTGGAGCATTCAACTTGATGCTTTCTCTTGTGCCACCAAAGACACTTAGACTACTCAACGTGGTTGGATACTCTGGTGACAGAGAGGTAGGCTTGGCTTTGCTTCATGAGAGTACATCTGAAATGCATATCAATAATTTCTTAAGCGTTTTCACTCTCCTCTTTTATCACAATTATATCAGCATATCTTATGGTGTTGAAATGGGTAACAATTCTGCTGGTGAGCATCTCCTCCTAATCTACCTCCAGAAATTTCCAAACTGTGTCATACTTAAATTTTTCCATGCACGTTCTAGTATGCTAAAGGGAAAGTTTGAAAATGCAGAGGCGAAACTACATGAGTGCATTTTTACTCAGAATGAATGGAATCAGTTTCACTACCTCTGTTACTGGGAACTCATGTGGTGCCGTATTTTCCTGCAGGATTGGAAGCAGGCTTACCACTATGCCCATCGCCTATCTCAACACAGCAGGTGGTCCAAGGCCACGTTTGTGTACAGTAAAGCTATCCTGCTGCCCTTGCTTCCTGCTGATTTCGTGAAATCAGTAGATGAGGATATGAACTCTCTCTTCCTGCAAGTGGATGGCCTGAGAGCCAGATTTCTAGGCAATTCTGTGCCCATAGAAAAATTTATTGCTGTGAAGGGTCAGCGCTACGGTACGACTGTAGGCTGGTTTACAGCCCAGCCCCTTCTGGAATTCATTTATGCCTGGAGTGGTTTCCAAGTCATGAGCCAAAAAACGGAGCTTATTTCAAGCTGGTTATCAATAATTGACAAAGGAGAAGACCTCTTACAAGAAAATCCAAATAATGAGTATGCCACAGATGACATGAGTTTGTTAAATTTGCTGAAAGGTGTGTGCCTGAAACACCTAGGCAAATATTCAAAGGCTGAGCATTACTTTAATCATGTCATTCAGAAGGAGAAATTGTTAAAATATGACCACTACTTGGTGCCATACAGTTACTATGAACTGGGAATTCTACACTATCTGAGAGGAGATTATGCCAGTGCAACAAAAAACCTACACAACATAAAAAACCACAGAGACTATTTAATGGAAACCCGGTTACAGTTTAGGGCTCACGTAGCCCTTGAACAAATAGCTAAAAAAAACTGATCTGCACACACAGTGTGGTTTTGTTTAGTATGAGTGAAATAGCTACAATCAATGAGGTAATTAACAGGTAGAAAAATCATTTCTTTGTGGAAAAAAATCCAAGAGGCGGCTGCCAAGAATCTGGCCAGTAACAAGTAAGAAAGAAATTGGCCATGACCGTCACCTCTTTCTCAGGCCTGTGAGATGGAATGTCTTAGGTTGGCAGAGGGAGTGAAGCACATTCTTGAAAAAGAAAAGGCAAACAGTGTGCATTATAAAACACACTCTCTCCCCATGCTGTGACGTCATCAGTTACGTTAGAGAACATTTTCAAAGTTCAACAAGTATTTTCAAACATCTCACTCGATAATGTACGACTTGCAAATAAAATCGGAAAGTAGCTCATCAGGGATCCTAGTGCCCTATAAATGTTTTCATTTAACTGTTCAAAAAAAGACTCCAGTGTCTTGCTGACATTTTACAGCAGTGATGCACTGAATAGTATAAACTTTGAATGGTTTTCCTTTATATACATTTTTATTGTCGTTTTATACCAGAGAGGATTGTGTCCTTCCTGTGTAATCAGTAGTATTTTTTTACCCTCTTTCAGTTCGAAGTTCAAATTTACCACAGGACAGAGAAGAAAGCCCTCTCCCCTTTCCATACCCACACACAGACTCTTGGAAGACAGTTGGAGGTCAAGAGGATGGGTGCACTGACTGGGAGGGACATGCTTAGCTGCTAAGCAACCCTCTCTCCAGGTGCCCTCCCTAGGGGGTCGTTCCTGTTAAGACCAGCTCTTCAAGGTACTAAACCACTGGCCTCTCTCCATGGTGAGGGGCGGATCTCATAGTCAGTGGCAGCTGTGGAGATGGGCTTGGCATCGTATTACCTGTCTCAAGGATAAAGCCAGGCCCTAACTTCCAGACTGTTAAGTCTAGCTGAGTGTGTCCCCCGTGCAGTCACTGTTTGAAACAGAAGTTGCTGGGAAAGTTTGGCTTGCTACAAACATAAGCGAAGCATTCCCTTCATTCTCCAGATGTCCAAACAGCCAGGTGGACCAAAACAAGGAGTTGCTATCTTGGTTTTAGCTGTTTTGGCTTGATTTAAAGGCATTTCCTCATAAACTGAACATGGGCTTTCCAGTGAACAGTTGTCCTTGAGTTATCCCTCATTAGTTAGTTAGTGTGGTCCTAGTGGTTAAGAGGACAGGTTCTGGCCTGGCTAACCAGACTTGTGCCACCAACTAGCTGTGTGGCCATGGGCCTCTGTGCCTGTTTCCTCAGCTATATAATAGGAATAAGAATAATATCCATCTTATGGTTTTGCCGTATTACAAATGAGCTGATAAACATTTATTATTATTACTGCTAATACCACTAATGTATTGTTCTTCATTCTCATTGGAGAGAATTTTTTTTTTTTGAGTCGGGTCTCAAAAAAACTGTCGCCCAGGCTGGAGTGCAGTGCCACTATCACAGCTCACCACAGTCTCCACCTTCTGGGCTCTGGTGATCCTTCCACCTTAGCTTCCTGAGTAGCTGGGACTACAGGCATGTGCCACCACAGTTAATTTTTTAAATTTTTGTAGAGACAGGGTCTCGCAATGTTGCCTAGGCTCGTCTTGAACTCCTGGGCTCAAGCAGTTCTTCCGCCTCGGCCTCCCAAAGTGTTGATATTATAGGTGTGAGTCACCGTGTCCTTTGTAACCTGCTTTGCCAATGTAAGATGTGGCCTGTTAATTTGCTTTTTTGTTCTCACTTTATGTTGGTCACTTATGAAATAAGTAACTCTCTGCCTAAATTGTGGTTTTGAGTTTTGTAAAAACAAGAATTTATTTGTCCCAAACAAAAGAGTTCTGAAGGTAGTGGCTCAGGCCTGGCAAGGTTCCTCTCATCTTTCTTCTGTCCTTTTTTTTAATTTTTATTTTTGAGTTGGAGTCTCACTCTGTCACCCAGATTGGAGTGCAGTGGCCACTCCTAGCCACCACAGCCTTGACCTGCTGGGCTCCAGCGATCCTTCCACTTCAGCCTTCCAAGTAGCTGGTACTACAGGCGTGCGCTACCACACCCGGCTAATTGTTTTTGATTTATTGTAGAGATGAGGTCTCACCAAGTTGCCCAGGTGGGTCTGAACCCGCAGGCTCAGGCAATTCACTCACCTCAGCCTCCCAAAGCGTGGGATATCAGGCTGAGCCACCAAGCCCAACCTTTTCTGTCCTGCTTCCCATCCAGGCCTCCCTCTCCAGGCCCAAAGTCCAGGCCAGGAAGGCTGGAGGAGGAACACTAAAGGAACAAGAAGCACGTTCCTGAGAGGCTTGACCTTTTTATTTCAGAAGGGACAGTCTTCCTAGAGACTTTGTGTCTGTCTCCACAGCTAGACATTGTCCCAGGGCCACTCCCACCCGCCAGGGAAACTGAAGTTTTTGCTTTCAAGCCCACGTCACGAGGGGGTTGTGGCAGCGGTTGTCAGGTGGACCAACCTACAACCAGCAGCTGCCAAAACACGCCTGTAGATAGCAATGAGCAGCAGGCGGTAGCAAGGCCCAGGGTAGAGGGGACAAGGCAGCGCAGCCAGATGACTGGGCGCATGGAGGTTTCTGGAGGGCGGTGCCAGGAAGCCCCTTCCCTGTATTGCGCCCCCCATGCATGTGTTCGGCTGTAGCCTTCGTGATAGCCTTGAAATAAACCGGCAAGAATTGGGTCAGGCAGCGGCGATTCATGCAGGTGCACTGAGCTCGCAAAAGTCCCCAGGATAGCCCAACACAGCCGACATGGGGGCAGGTGGCACGGGCTGCCACTGCACCTTTCTCAAGCCCTGAAGCAAAGATGTCCTAATGAATTTCCTAATACAATTAATTGTATTATTGTCAATCCCTGCCTCGATAGGGCCACAGGTTCAAGAAGAAGAGCTGATGGATGGGATTCAGGGCACGATCCCCACCTTCCAGGGACTGAAATCCAGTGACTGGGATCGCATAGGCTTCGGGCTTTCCTTTGTGGGAGGGTGAGCACGTGTTGAATGCTCTGGTGATGGGGGCAAGTGGAGAAATGGGCAGTTTGCATCCAGAGATTCATCAACTTTGTGGCCAACCAAGGTTTTGGAGTGTCACAGACCAAAGCCTTCAAGACTCTGGTCTCCAGGCTTGCAATGGGCCCACTGCAGCTTCTATTGCAGAAAGCTTCCAGGGGAGTTATCGATAGGGCTGAAGTTAAGCTGAAGAGTTTGGTTTCCTTTCTTTCACTGGCTTAAAAGATGGAAACTTAGAAGCCTGCAGCTAGTGCCTTTCCATCAAATCAGAGTGTGTACATTGAGGCAGAAGTCGCTTATCTATTTATTTATTTAATTTTTTTTTTTTGAGTTGGAGTTTCACTCTGTCGCCCAGGCTGGAGTGCAGTGGTCGCTCCTGGCCACTGCAGCCTTGACCTGCTGGGCTCCGGCGATCCTTCCGCCTCAGCCTTCCGAGTAGCTGGAACTACAGGCGCGCGCTACCACATTCGGCTAATTTTTTTGATTTATTGTAAAGATGAGGTCTCACCAAGTTGCCCAGGTGGGTCTCAAACCCGCGGGCTCAGGCAATCCACTCACCTCAGCCTCTCATATTTATTTATTTTTGAGTCACAGTCTCACTCTGTTGCCCAGGCTGGAGTGGCATGCTCAAGGCCTCATGGCCACCTCAGCCTCGACCTGCTGGGTTCAGGTGATCCTTCTGCTTCAGCCTTTCCAGTAGCTGGAACTACAGGCATGCACCACCATGCCCAGCTAATTTTTTTGACTTATTGTAGAGATGAAGCCTGCCATATTGCCCAGGCTGGTCTTGAACCTATGGGCTCAGGCAATCTTCTCGCCTCCGCTTCCCAAAGTACTAGGATTGCAGGTGTGAGCCACGGCACCCAGCTGGAAGCCACTTTATTTATTTATTTATTTATTTATTATAGAGATGTGGGGTACAATTCAGGGTTAGGTATATAAACATTGATCATGCAGGTACCCTTGTTGATGAAGTATGTCCCTCTCTCCCCTAGCAGTTTCCCTCAACTGCCAATCCCACCCTGGAAGCCACTTTAAATAGCGAACTCTTCTCAGGGACTTTTTAGATCAAGTTGAACTAAGTTCTTTCCTAGCAAATGAACTCTCACATCAATCAACAGGAATTTAAGTATCTACTGTCAATTTCATTTTGTGAAGGGCAGACACATTCATTTCACCACATTTGTGGAGAAATTTCTGTTCATATGGATGAAGTGGAATCAGGAGGATTCCATCTGCCTTTGGGAGCTTCCCTCATCTTGATTTCTGGTTCTTAATGCTATCTTAAGGTTTTCTAACGTTAAACCATTATAATATGCTTTCATCTGATTTATTTTATTTATTTTTGAGTTGGAGTCTCACTCTGTTGCCCAGGCTGGAGTGCAGTGGCACGCTTACGGCCACCAGTCTCGATGTACTGGGCTCAGAGGATACATCCGCCTCAGCCTTCCAAGTAGCTGGAACTACAGGCTTGCGCCACTATGCCTGGCTAATATTTTGATTTATTGTAGAGATAAGGTCTCACCAAGTTACCCAGGTTGGTCTCGAACCTGTGAGCTCAAGCAATCCTCTCACCTCAGCCTCCCAAAGTGCTGGGATTATAGGCGTGAGTTACCATGCCCGGTTATTATACTTTCATTTGGAATCTAGGAAAACTCTGAGCTACGATATTTAGGCAGGTATTTTGTTTTTAATTTTTAATTTTAAAGATGTGGAGTACAATTCAGGGCTAGGTATACATTCATTATGCAGATACCTTTGTTGATGAGGTGTGCCCCACTCCCCTGGCCGTTTCCCACTACTGCCAATCCCTTTCTTTCTTTTTTTTTGAGTTGGAGTCTCACTCTGTCGCCCAGACTGGAATGCAGTGGCCACTCCTGGCCACCGCAGCCTCAACCTGCTGGGTTCCGGCGATCCTTCCACCTCAGCCTTCCGAGTAGCCAGAATTACAGGCATGCGCTACCACGCCCAGCTGATTTTTTGATTTATTG